CTAAGTTCAACTCCCACCAACTGCCATTCTTGGTCCCTGAGTAGGACCCTTAACCCCAGGCTGCTCCCCGGAGCCACAAAGTGGCAGCCTGCTGCTCCCCAAGAGGATGGGTCAAATGCAGAAGTTAATTTCTCCAGTGTGAGATCAGTAAAGCTAAATTGTTATTATTATTCAATTACATGATTAAAGATTGAGTTTGGTGATGTGCTTAAAATAATCTGAATTTAATTAAAGAGGGATAAAGTGGTGTTTTAGCCACATTATGACCAACATTATAAACAGTATAGAGAATCTAGATCTATTTAACATTATTTTAGATGTAAAATTGTTAAAGAAAATGGTAAGCAAGTTTGGGCTTCTTTAGGTTTTTCCAAGATAACTTTACCTTTATCGATAACACAGGATGGCTCTCTGAATGAATGTGCAGTAAAAGCTTAAACTACTAAATTCTTCCCAAATCCCACCTAGCTGATGCAAACATTATGTGATTATTAAATTACAGATTTTCTGCCAAGTATCCAGTTTTATTGTTTGATTACAAAAAATATTTTAAAATCTGAATTTTAACCTGGTTGACAGACACACTATAAGCATGTTCATATAAAAAAAATGAAAAATCAATTGCTGAGGACCTATGTACTATGGAAAACATGTGGACAGTTGCTTCAATGAAAGGATGGAATGACCTCCGCTTTAGGTGGATTATAGAATATGCTCACGTCATGAGATCTGATTTTATCAGTCAACACTGTGAGGCATATAAGCATTACCTGAGCCTCAGACTACATGGATGTGCAGGCCGAACGGCATTGCCTAAAGTCCATCACATGGAGTCAGTCACAATCTACAAAGAAGCTCTATGTCTTTTAGGGGAGCTTTAGAAAAAGGTAGTTGGCATTTCCTTTATTTATCCTCGCTAGAATTTGTTGCTAGTTTTCGGCAACAAAAATCCTTCTTTGTTGAATTTACGCTTTCACACATTTTATTGGATTAGGGTCTAGTTTTCCTTCTCCTGGACCTGCTGCGACAGGCTGTAACTAAAATCCATCACAGGAGAACTTCATCTACTTAATTCCAGACAACGGAAAAAGCGACTCTGACAAAAATCAGACTTCGCAGGGAAGTGCTGGTTTTCGTCGATAACATCCTATTAGGCAGAGGGACATGTCAGCGTAGGAAAGGGCCTAATCCAATCAGCAGGGTAATTAAAAACACACAGCACAGCAGGAGCAATGGTAGATGGCTGATGGCTGCATTGTCAGGAGTGGCTTTCATCATTGAGCACAGTGGGGCATTAACTGTGGTCAGACCAGAATAAAGGGAAATCAACAGCAAGTTTTCATACAGAGGCTCATCTCTCTAATCCAACTATCCTCATCATATACAGCAGCTTGCAAATACATTCACACCCAAAATATCCTTTCAAGTTTTGGCACATCACAAGCTTCGGTGTATTTTATTAGGGCTTCATGTGATAGGGCATTATAATGTGGTGCATAAATGTAAAGCAGGATGGAAAACATACATGGTCTTGGAATAAAAATATAAAAATTAATGAGAGTTTGAAATCAACCCCCTTTACTAAAATAGTGCTAAATAAAACACTATTTTAATTAATAAATCATGACATCACTTTTATCAGATGCACTGCTTTATTTAGATGTCAGTTGTGATTTGGTGTATTTTTCTGGCCCTTTAGTTGTTGGATTCATCTAATTACATGGTTCATCTGAGCAGAATGTAATCTCATCTCAAATCCAACTGTTTTGACTTTACAGAAGGAAAGAAGACTTAAAATGATGGCAAAGGTTTATCTTTTAAAATACCAAACTTGTAGTCAGAGCCTCTATAATTACGGTTTAGATCAGAGCATGTTCATATGTCCGTATGGCCCAGTCAAAGTCCATTCCTTTATCCAATTAAGAATCAGTGTCAAGACTCAAAAAACGTTGTTCGCTAACTCTATCCATCCAATCTGACCAAGCTCTAGCAGTTTTGCAAAGACAAATGGTCAAAAATTCACAATGAGAAAAGCTGCAACATATAAAAAAAGATTTCAAGTACAAATTTTTTAAATAGGTGCAGACTGCTGTACCCTAAATGCACCAGGGAGCGTTACCACAGAACCTTCCTCCCATCAGCTGTAAGACTCCATCACTGTTCCCAACATAAGTTGTTACATTCATGCAGATTTTCCCACAGTTTCTGTCTTAGTCACTTAGATAAATAAGTTAAATAACATGCAGCCAGAGATGGGAAGTAACGAAGTACAAATACTTCGTTACTGTACTCAAGTAGATTTTTCTGATATTTTTACTTTACTTTACTACTTATTTTTATGGCGACTTTTTACTTCTACTCCTTACATTTTTACACAAATATCTGTACTTTCTACTCCTTACATTTTAAAATATTGGTTCGTTACTTTAGTTTTGAATCATTTCAATGGAGTTACCGTTATTATTTTTCACGTCATCAATACCAAATTCAAACTAATTGGATGGGAATCTACGTTGCATTTGACGCACCACTACAAGATGAATCGACAGATTCGGCGGTATTCATTCGCGGTAAATCATTGCAGCTTGGTGGCGGTGGCGTTAGCATAGTAGTATGGACGACGAGATGATTGAAAATGAACACAACGGAGATCTAGTCCTATTGGCAGACATCCATTTAAAATGTAGGCAACGGCATGAAAAAAGTGGTTTCTACTTTTACTTTTATACTTTAAGTAAATTTACAAGCCTGTACTTTGTTACTTCTACTTGAGTAAAGAAGTTTAATCAGTACTTCCATTTTTACCAGAGTATTTTGTTACACAAGTATCTGTACTTTTACTCAAGTACGGAAAGTGAGTACTTTTGCCATCTCTGCATGCAGCTGATATATTTGCACATCTCTGGTGTTTGCTGCTATTTTTTTCACACATACTGAAAAAATGTCCACAGCTGTATATTGATTATTTATTCTCCAGATGCAAAGTACGGTATTTATACTGTAAAAACACTGTACAGTACAGTGCTATTTGTTTGTTTTCTTCTGTAATTATTCTGTTATATTTATAAACTTTTTAAGGTCTACATTTGTGTGACCTCTTTTGTTATAATATTTTGCAGTTGTAATTTCCTCAATAAAGGGATTTTCTTTTCTATTCTTCTAAATAGTTTTATTTAAAGGTGCTGAATAAAAATATATGCAACATATTTTCTAATTCGGCTTCATTTTCCTGACAGCATAGTTTCTTAATAGACATCTCATTTCCATCCTGGTTTGCTTATCCCACCCTCCTCCGTGTAAAGTAAGACCACCACCTTACTGCTCCCTGACAACACTCCTGCCAGTGCTGAGTTAGAGCCAGTGTGCACTTGGAAGGCAAACCACCAGATGTCACCCACGCCTCAGTGCCTCCAAGCTGTGTCTTTATGAGGCTTAATGAATTTAGTGTCTTGGCTCTGTGTCACACTGGTTGCTCAGTGCACAACAACATGCAATGCATGAAATCAGTTTTGCACAAATTAAAAAGAGGGCCACAAGAAGCTTTATAATTTTGCTTCCTCTCCTGTTTTAAATGTGCTGTTATTCCTGCTTTTTTTTTTACTTGGCCATCATTCTTTTCGCCTCAAAGGGTCACTCTCCATCCTATGTGTGCAGCAGAGCATGAATGTGGAGCTCCGGATGTGCGACAGGCTTCCTGGGAGAGTGGGGGGTAATTCTGAAGGGTAGCAGAAGTAATAGGGTAATCTATTATACAGTCTAAGTCTTTCTTCCTCGTTCTCTTGCCCCCCTCCTCCTTTCCGTGCCTCAGTCTTTCAGCTTCTCGCTGCCTCTGCCCTTGCATCAGCATTTCACGAGGACAAATGAGAAGTAGAGTTTAACTATGCACATTCCCAGTGTCCTCCTGCAGAGCCCAGCACTTTCTCAATTAAACAGGAGTCCGCCTGCACCGCTGATTCAAGGATGCATCTCACATGCTCACAAAAACACACAGGGTTTTCAGTCCATAGGTGCATGCCTGCACCACAGTACTGTTTTATCATAAGGGAAAGAATCGGTCATGTAAAATTCCTGAAACATGCTTTCTTACACATGTTAACAGCAGAGACAACAAAGCAGGGATGTGTGAAGGAGGAGGAAATTATGTGGAACTGACAGGAATAATCCACAGATTACTATCTAAGGAATGGAAAGGAAAACTGGCCTTTTTTTGTTTTGTTTAATGATTTGAAATAATAAACTCTACATAAGTATTTTTTATCCTCTTAAATTTTTGTCTACATTTTTTGCTTGGTCAAAATTGCATTATTTTGTAATAAAATTGATTGCTCCCTGTTTTCCTTTTTCAGTAATCATATATTTGGTAAAAACCTTTATTTCTCTCATTATATTAACCATAAATACACTGATAAGACTATACACTATTGTCTAAAAATAGGTGCCTTGGAGAACACTGGTCTAAAAAAAAAAAAAAAACATTACAAAATTATGTTGCAGATTAATGCATAAAAAAGAAATAAGAATAGATTAACATAATATTTTTTTCATCCCTTTGTATAAAACAGAGATAAACAAAATAATTAAAATGGTACAAAAGATATATATATATTTTAGAAATAGCTAAAAACGTGCCTGAATTATATAATATACTTTGTGTTCTTTACACTTTTGGTGTTTCCCACCTGAATGTTTCCATTCTGTATCTTTTCCAAAAAGTATTTTTGTTTTTTAATGTTCATCATCATCTGTTCCACCAATTAAAACCTCTCTATCCTCACCGTCTTCCTTTTTTATAACCCTTTCACCCACAACACTGACATTTTCTTTTCCATTTTGGACCCACCTCCCTGAGGTAGACAGAGCTCCCTCCTCCTCCTCCTCCTCCTCCTCCTCCTCCTCCTCCTCCTCCTCCTCCTCCTCCTCCTCCTCCTCCTCCTCCTCCTCCTCCTCCTCCTCCTCCTCCTCCTCCTCCTCCTCCTCCTCCTCCTCCTCCAGCGAGCACATGCTCATGCTGCTTCCATCTGATACCGACTGGATGCAGAGCAAAGATTTTCCAGCAGCTTCCCGAGTCTCTGCTCCCATCTCCATCCTCTCTTCATCCCCTTCTCCTGTAACATCTAAAGCTTATCCTGTTTCTTTTACTTCCGTTTGTTCCCGAACAGGATGTGGCACTCTATGGCTCTTCTCCTCTCTGGACTCTTCGCTTTGATCAATGGTGAGCCTGACTTCATCTCTCCTCCTTATTCATTCAGGTTTCTGGTATTTCATTGGAATATAGTAGTGTGGGGTATGTGTTTTTTTTTTCATTTTTAGTTAATTTTCTATGTATTTAAAGAGAAACAAAGATTTTAGGAGGAGAAAGGCAAGAGTACTGCTCACCTGTTTGCTTGTCTATTGACATGTAGAGAGTTCAATTAGATTGATGTATTCTTGTTTGTCTGGAGACATACACTATATTGCCAAAAGTATTTGCTCACCCATCCAAATTATTGGAATCAGGTGTTCCAATCACTTCCATGGCCACAGGTGTATAAATTCAAGCACCTAGGCATGCAGACTGTTTTTACAAACATTTGTGAAAGAATGGGTCGCTCTCAGGAGCTCAGTGAATTCCAGCGTGGAACTGTGATAGGATGCCACCTGTGCAACAAATCCAGTCGTGAAATTTCCTCGCTCCTAAATATTCCACAGTCAACTGTCAGCTGTATTATAAGAAAATGGAAGTGTTTGGGAACGACAGCAACTCAGCCACGAAGTGGTAGGCCACGTAAACTGACGGAGCGGGGTCAGCGGATGCTGACGCGCATAGTGCGAAGAGGTCGCCAACTTTCTGCAGAGTCAATCACTACAGACCTCCAAACTTCATGTAGCTCAAGAACAGTGCGCAGAGAGCTTCATGGAATGGGTTTCCATGGGCGAGCAGCTGCATCCAAGCCATACATCACCAAGTGCAATGCAAAGCGTCGGATGCGGTGGTGTAAAGCACGCCGCCACTGGACTCTAGAGCAGTGGAGACGCATTCTCTGGAGTGACGAATCGCGCTTCTCCATCTGGCAATCTGATGGACGGGTCTGGGTTTGGCGGTTGCCAGGAGAACGGTACTTGTCTGACTGCATTGTGCCAAGTGTAAAGTTTGGTGGAGGGGGGATTATGGTGTGGGGTTGTTTTTCAGGAGCTGGGCTTGGCCCCTTAGTTCCAGTGAAAGGAACTCTGAATGCTTCAGCATACCAAGACATTTTGGACAATTCCATGCTCCCAACTTTGTGGGAACAGTTTGGAGCTGGCCCCTTCCTCTTCCAACATGACTGTGCACCAGTGCACAAAGCAAGGTCCATAAAGACATGGATGACAGAGTCTGGTGTGGATGAACTTGACTGGCCTGCACAGAGTCCTGACCTCAACCCGATAGAACACCTTTGGGATGAATTAGAGCGGAGACTGAGAGCCAGGCCTTCTCGTCCAACATCAGTGTGCGACCTCACAAATGCGCTTCTGGAAGAATGGTCAAAAATTCCCATAAACACACTCCTAAACCTTGTGGACAGCCTTCCCAGAAGAGTTGAAGCTGTTCTAGCTGCAAAGGGTGGACCGACGTCATATTGAACCCTATGGATTAGGAACGGGATGTCACTTAAGCTCATATGTGAGTCAAGGCAGGTGAGCAAATACTTTTGGCAATATAGTGTATGTTCTCTGCCTAGATGATATATTATATCAGGCAGACTGACACCACGACAACAGATGCAGTCTGCAGAAAGATCCCAGCTGTCAGAATATTTCATCATTCCAACATTTTCTTTATGACCACATTTGCACACACATCAAGTCCTCCTCCTCCTTGCGGGAAATCACATCAGTTTAATGACACATACAGATCAGCATCTTGCATCTCGCCTTCCTGTTGCTGCAGCTGAGAAACTGTGTGTGTTTCGGGCTGACGAGGGATGACAGAGCTGAGAGGCGGTCGGTGAACTTTCCCTACAGGCAAAAGAGTGGCAGCATTGAGATGATGTTCGGTTTAAGTTTGCGACGAGACTGTAGATCAAACAGTGAACCGACATAAAAGACAGGAGGACATGTAAAAGTTTCAGACTGTGTTGCTGCAGCCTGAGAAAACTCTGAGGCATCCAGAGCTTTACCATCACTGTGAGCGGCTTTGAAGCAAACTGCCTGGAGTGTCCCTGATGTTCCTCTCACTTACTTTGTCATCCTTCTCCTTTTTTAATGCAGAAGTTTTTAAAATCACTCCCAAATTCTAAGTTTTGCTAGCAATAAACCTTCCCCCTCAAAAGTTGACAGAATGTTGTGAAGTTTGTGCTTGCAGATGAAAAAAATCTATCTATCTATCTATCTATCTATCTATCTATCTATCTATCTATCTATCTATCTATCTATCTATCTATCTATCTATCTATCTATCTATCTATCTATCTATCTATCTATCTATCTATCTATCTATCTATCTATCTATCTATCTATCTATCTATCTATCTATCTATCTATCTATCTATCTATCTATCTATCTATCTATCTATCTATCTATCTATCTATCTATCTATCTATCTATCTATCTATCTATCTATCTATCTATCTATCTATCTATCTATCTATCTATCTATCTATCTATCTATCTATCTATCTATCTATCTATCTATCTATCTATCTATCTATCTATCTATCTATCTATCTATCTATCTATCTATCTATCTATCTATCTATCTATCTATCTATCTATCTATCTATCTATCTATCTATCTATCTATCTATCTATCTATCTATCTATCTATCTATCTATCTATCTATCTATCTATCTATCTATCTATCTATCTATCTATCTATCTATCTATCTATCTATCTATCTATCTATCTATCTGCTTCACAGAAAACCATGAACAATATTTATATATTTCCAGTCTTTTCTTACAAATTACCTTCTGCAGGGTCAGCCTATCTTGTCATCTTTCAAAATGCATCTCAACGTCACCATTAAGTGTTATTCAAAATTTATTTTGTGAGCTTTTTTGGTTCGTGTGATATTGGAGAATGGGTTTTAAAATGTCTGTGGGTTGAGTCCTTGACTTTGGGATGTTTTATACTGCTATGTTCAGCTGCTGATCGTTTTGTCTCTTTTCTATTTGGTACTTCTATTCCCCTTTGAGCAATCTGCATCTACCATGTTAAAAAAAGGTTTAGAAAGAAAAATCTCAAGAACATATAAGGACATTTGACTATATTATACATAAAATTCTTTAAGATGCTTATATGAAAATTATTTATATGCAGTGTAGCAAGGTTGTAAAAATGGTGGGTAATGGCTGGTTTATGGTATTAACTGGCCAGAAACCTTGATGTTTAGTTGGCTTAACACAGAAGAAATAAAAGAAGTTCATGATTTGACTGAAAGTAAGTGAAAATAGCTGCCAGAGTTAAAAGAAAAACAAAAATACCTTCAGAAAACCTTGGAATCTACTATTCATGCGCAAACTGAATATATTTTCAGAAATTCTGGATCCATTGACAGAAACAATTAGAACAGATCTTTGAAAACTTTGAAAACAATAATTACACCCACAGCCTCACATTTTAGCCACAGACCTGAAGATCTACAACTGCAAAAGGAAAAAAACAAAAAACATTTGATGATTATTATTTAGTTCTTGCTGGGGTCAGACTTTTGGATCATTCAACGTCCTACACATCAACAAAGACAGAAATTCAATAATTTAAAATTCCTGTTTTTGGCTCTCTCTCTTTGATTCACTGTGAAGCAAATTAATATTTTTTACTTTAGTCATCCTTGATTATGTTTAAGCATTTTTCTAGCTTCTGCTGCACCTTTAAGCGCCCATGGGTGTCTTAAAACAAGCTTTATAACTGTACTCTGATTGGACTTCAATGTTTTTCTGTTAAAAATACAAAAAAAAAATCATTCTAAAACAGGAAGAAATTGTACAGCAATATAAATGTGTTCAAACTGGCAAGAGTAATGGTTTAATCTAAAATATATTTTTTTTGTGACAGTGATTGGTCAACCTGGTATAGCTGTAAAACAATGCTTATGGCTGTTTGTGTTTAAAGGCTATTTTTTAAGGGTAGAAAGTGATCATTTCCAGAGATTTGCTTTTACTGTGGTTTTCAATCAAAAGGTCACATTAATTTGTGGTTCTGAAATAAAAAAAATATAAAAAAATGTAGTGAAAAGGAAAAGCGAGTGTAAGCCAGTTAAACATCAATGATTCTAAAGTCAAATTTGAAAATAAAAGTCAGGTACTTAAGTATAACACAATGGCCATCCTACACAAAGTCATGGTAGCAAAGCCTACAGCTTGGGTTGACGTTCATGAACTGAACATTTCAGTAGTAGTTTATGTAGACCAGGGGTCTTCAACGTTTTCTAGGCTAAGGACCCACAAACTGATGGCGAGATAGACCGGGGACCCCCTAATTATATATATTGTATGAAACTGTGTTATATCAAACTGGTCCTATAGTCTCTCTATTACATATGGAGTAATATAACAAAAGTAATTTCTCCCTGGGATTATTAAAGTATTTGTGATTTTGACTCCTGGTTGATGGGACAGGTGTTGTGAATGAAACGGTGCCCAGCTTCAAAGAGCTCCTGTGTGTCGCTGAATTGATGACTGAAAGACATCTTCTGCCTCCATTTATCTGTTTACGGCAGTGTGTTGAATTTATTGTAAATGTGTATTTAAAAACATTTCAATTAGTGGAAAAAATAATGGGAAAGAATGGGAATATAAAAAAAAAGGTCTGATCAACCAAAACTTTCGCGACCCCCATCCAGTAACTCCGTGGACCCCCTGTGGGTCATGGACCCCTGTTGAAGACCTCCGAATTGTGGAGAGAAAGCCCAAACACCTGGGTGCAGCTGGAGACTTGACCTCTTGTTGGTGAAATTTAAACGCATTCTGAAAGGAGTCAGATAAACGTCATCTTACTGTTCTTCTGTGTTCCTGCCAGCAACTACTATCACCAGAACAGCTTCGATTGTCTGTGACAGTTGCACTTTACTCAAAGTTATTAGCATGGGTTTTACCTGTCAGGGTTTATGTAATGTAGGTGACAAAACTTTATTTTCCTATAGCTGTCTGTTAAGCAGCTACAACTACAGTATAAGTAGCCTCTTTTCAGAAATAAATATGCAACTGGGTCATTTGCAGGAAGAGAGTTTAGATTTAATACAAACTGCTGACATCAGGAGAGACTTTGTATAGATGGAGAACAAATACAAATTCAAACACCTTCAGTAGAAGAAGACCTTTTCTGATAAACTTAATGCTTTCATGCAACATTCCCAGTTGTCTTGATGGTCTGGCTGTTATCTCCACAGCATATATCTTTATCTCTGCCACAGGGCTCAACTTGTTTTCTAGCTTTTTATATTTGCATGGCTAATATTAATATTAATATGATTTATTTTCATATAATATGATCTTTTTCTGTTATATATGCACATATTTTCTGTTTCTTTTTAGAAAGGTGGGATTACAAAAAATATTTTGTTGCTAGAACAAATTAAATGAAGATTTTGTTGATTTTTTATTTGTTAAGGATATTTAGGATTTTACATTTTTGGGCCCACATAGTGTGATGATAGAAACTTAAGGATCTCAAAAACCCGAAGTGAGACAGAAAGATGCATTAAGTTATGCAAAACAGTTTTTCACTTTGACCTCCAAGCGACTTGTGCCCTGATATTGTTTGTTAATATTTATCAAGGGTTCTTTGAGTTTCCCTTTAAAGCTCTTTTTTAAATTCCCTCTGGATCCTATTATTCTGTTATAATTGTTAAGTAATTTATTCTAAGTGAAGAGCAGGATTTTTACATCATGCCTCCTCCCATGATAAAGCACCGGATTAATTTCTCAATTAAATTTCCTATTTCACCCCATTTAACATTTTCAGCGTAGTCGCATTTCCCTAAAATTGACCTTATATGTAAAGGTTCATTTTCTCTGAATAAAATGTTCTGATTAATATCTATTACAAACGACTTTTGTCTTTGGGTGTTATTAAATCCCATTTCTAGTTTACTGATTGAGGTTTTCCTTTAATGTTGTAATAATCTTTGTTTGAGATTTTATGGGAGATCACACAGTCCTGCTTTGCTGTCTCTGTAGTGTCGGTGCAGGGGCCTCACCAGAGGAACCTGCTAAAAAACCTCCTGAAGGACTACAACCGAATGGAGCGGCCAGTAGGAAACGATTCCCATCCTCTGAAGGTCTACTTTACTCTCAATTTGATACAGATCATGGATGTGGTAGGTTCATGCAAGCATTTGCTCTAATTACATCTCTCTTTGTCAGACTGTATTAATCCAACATTATGTCTTTTAAATTTAATGTCTCAGTTTTTTTTAAAACAGTCTTTAATGTCTTTGGACTGGATATTACTTAAGAAATCTACAGCTTGCTGACTAAAAGTTGCCCTTTAAAATTGGACTTTGATGAATCAGCTCTTCTTAGAGGATCTAAGAACTTGTTAGGGATGCAGAGCAATCGGCTGTCAAAGACTGAAATCAGATCCATGGCTTTGGATCTGTGGGCTATCCAGTTTTAGTTTTGGCATTAAATAGTTCACTTTATTTAGTTACCTGTTTAGCTTGATGGACCTTTAAATAGGTTCTTATCATGGAGTTCCACAGGGTTCTTCTCTTGGCCCCCTATTTATTTTTTGATGTTTTTCCTTCCTTTTGTTAAGGTTGTACAGTGACATCACTGTTTATTCCTGTGCTGAAGAGATTTAATAATTTTATATTATATATTTTTTTTCTTTTAAACTCCTGTGTGTTGGAGAGTCCCACAGAACTGTTTGGGAAGACTTGGATTTTACAATATGTAATAAATCTGTGCCCCAAATCTCAGTTCGTCAGACCCATTGTTAGACTCACTTATACAAGGGATGTTTGATGGTAATTTATCAACTGAATATATTAAAAGTGCTTTCTTCGTTATTAATTTTAAAGGAATGTTTTTAAATAGAGCATTTATATATTCACTGTTGAAATATTAAAGGGATGTTTAGTTTTTCTTCTCTCGCAGAGAACTGGGATTCTACTTTTAGCTTCCACAGTAAAATGTCTCTGGATCGTAAAGCTTGCATAAAAGGCAGCCTTCGACTAGATTTTTTTTAGGGAGTCCCAACTGATCACAAGAAAGAAAAGAGCTTTACAGCTATAAATGTTCACTAACATGCTTAATTAATTCTTCCTAATTTAGTTACAGCCATCGTATGCATGAATCAAACTAATTATGCAGACCATGGAAACTTGAAGCATGCCTTGTTATTCTTCATTTGTTATATTTTAAAATCTGCTGCTACTTTCCAAAAAACTTGTCTTTTGATTCACAGATGACATTATTCAAAGAAAATACATTGAAATGTTTTTCAGGATGAGAAGAACCAGGTGTTAACCTCCAACATGTGGCTTCAGATGGTAAGGACTGTTTGTTTCACATTTCTGGTGTTCTAGCTGTGCAGTTTTTATGAACCACATTATATAATCTGTAACACCCCAATTAAGGTCACAAGACGCGCCGTAACCCAGTATTTCTAAATTTAGAGCTGGAAAAATAACAGGTCTCTCTTTGAAAAGTACCAATTAAATGAATGCTAATTGGAAATAAGGGGAGAAAAACCTACAAACAAAGCAAGTCTTTACCTTAATTTAACTGTGCAAATGCATTAATTGTAAAAAAAAAACAGACTGTTCAGCCTTGTTAAATTGGACAATTGTTGGCTCTTGCACCACTAAAGTGTAATCTAAAGTCACACAGCAGATCTGATGCCATAATGTTAGAAAAGCTGTATCTATAGTCTTGTTCACACCATATTTCTGTGTGTTGTAGAAAGACCTTTACCAGCATTCCCTATAATAACTATTTTTCCATCTTACATCATTTTGCAGGGATTATTATCCACTATGTTTTACAGCATTGCTTGGGGTTATTTAGGGTTTGTAAACACTGGTTTCTGCACAGCTCTCGCAATGTCCCAGATCAGCAAATTAACATTTTAGCATCTTTCTTTTGCAGCTATTGTTTTGCAGATGTGCAGCTTTAAAGGCTCGACTTTATGGGAATGTGTATTTAAAGCAAGCTTAAGCTTGATAAATAGCATTACAATTGTAAAAAAAATATATATTATAAAGCAGAATCAATGTGGTTTTCTCAAATCCAAACCTAACCCTTACCCTACCATGCAGTTTAAATAAAACTTTGTTATTCGGTTATAATTCAGCTTCCTGGATGGTTTCCGTTATTTTTTATTTTTTTAGATATTTGATTTTCTTTTTGCAATATGTCCAAGAGGAAACACACTTATTGAGGTTTAGTGATAATAACACCAATAACTTTAACCTTAATATGATTACCATGGACTAAAGAGCTGGGAATATAAATCTTTGGTCTTTTACGGTACCAGTGAGCTTTACACCATCTTGATTTTATGTTGAATTTCCTAGGAGATTATCTTCTGGGAAGACTGGTAATGATCCTTAATGATCCTTAATTAGACAGTATTTAATGTTATTGCTGATGTTTTCCCCCCATGACATTCTTAACATGCAAAGCTGTGTGCTTCAAAACAGTTTTAATCGAGCTCAACACACCTGCTGATGATACAGGGAGTGAATCTGATTAATGATTCTTTTTTTGTGTGAATTTAAAACCTTTTTTAGGACCTTATCATTCTTATCATTTCATATCAATCACTTATATCAATTAACTGATTATATACTTTTTATTTAAGACTGTATTGGTCTTCTCAGTAAAAAGTAACAATAGTAGAAATTAATATACTTCAAATGAAGACAAATGCTTGCTGGCTGTAACTGTTGATGGTGCACAAGGTTCTCTTTAGAAATTGCTGAAGAATAATTTTTGCTGCAGTCTTTGCAAATGTTTAATTTTGTATGCTGCTGTTGTATGGTGTGAACTTTCTGAGAAGGCATGCAATGTTCACACATGTTTCAACTGCATATTAGATTCCTCTCTTAGATCTTTTTGTATATTTCTATTTCTGATAAGGCTGAACTGATAATAAAGTATCTCTCCTGTAAATCTGCTGGTCCGTATAATCTTATCTGTGGGTTTACAGAGTTGGTACGATCACTACCTGCAGTGGAACCAGAGCGAACACCCTGGGGTGAAAAATCTTCGCTTCACCACCGATCAGATCTGGACTCCAGACATTTTGCTCTACAACAGGTAAAACACCTGAACACAAACCTCATACACACACACACCTGCACATCAAAAGGTTGTGACATTTCCCTCCCTGTCCTCCCTCAGTGCAGATGATGACTTCGACTCCACGTTTAAGACCAACGTCCTGGTGAACTCCAGTGGCTATGCCAAGTATCTGCCTCCAGGTTGGATTTTCTCTTCCTGTACCTACTTTCTTCATAAACCATAAACCTTTTTTAAACCTCATTACAGCCACTAAATTCAAAGTACTTCATTCATATTTGTTGTGATGCATTTCCCTTTTCTACAAATAAGAATCAAGATTGCAAATGCATTCATTGTTACTATATTTGCAGCTTTTATAAACTAAATCTCCGTCAGATTAGACAAAAAGCTTGCTTGATCATCACTTTTTAAAGTTTTCAACACATTTTCAGCTGAATTCAGAGCTCGGCATTAGATCTAAACCTTTACCTTGCAGCTCTGATTACATAACAAATGGATTTTCCCTGTTAGCTCTCTTATATAGTGGTGTTATGCATCTAAACTGACCTGAGTTCTATCTTCCTGTTTTTCCAGCTTTCTCTACATATCTTGAGTAAACTACAGCAGTAATTATTATAGCTCACTGTCAGCAGTGGCTTTGTTTTTGCAATGCTTGAAATAATGGGTCTACCGCCATCATATTTTCCCACCTGAGCTGTAGTTGTCTGGAGCTACTCTATAGTTACCACAGCCTTCTTGGTTACTTCTGTAATCAGTGTGTCTCCAGAATAATTATACTCTTTCAGTTTTCATATGATAAACTAAACAGGGCTTTTTGAAACATTAAAAGTTATGAAATCTTGTTTAATATCATAATGCCGCTTTAAATTTTTGCCCAACATCATGCCTGACCTGTATGCTCCCTTCTTCTGTCTTCACAATGCTATTTGTTCTCTAATATTCTCCAAAAAAGTTTTACAGCCTTTAAAGAACAGGAATTTATGTTAAGACTAAACAATTGAGATTATCTTTGGTGACTTAATGAACTGACCTCTAAAAGAAATTCAGAAGGTTGGACTATATTTTCTACGTCACAATGATACGCTACTGCCTGTATCAATGATTGTGGTTACAGCATGGCTAAAATGTAGAAAAGGTGAAGTGGTGTGAATACTTTGGCATTGCTCGGTACTATGCATAGTTCAAATTGTTTAAATTCCCTCTTTCTTCATTCTTTGTCTCTTACCTCATTTCCCTGAGGTGCAGCGTCTCATCCTGCAGGCTCTGCATGCCTTCTTGTTTCTACATTTGACATAAATATTTCATCAATATAAAAACAGCATTGGTATTCATATAAACTGTTTACAGCGCTAACTTCTTCCTCCCTTTATCTAAACCTCCTGTTGCAAAGGTAACAACCCCGTTGAGATTTCACAAGTCTTTACTCTGTGTTTTCCCCGGCTGTTCCAGATTAAAGGAGCCTCAAAGTGAGTCCCATTGCAGAGTCAAGAGGTTAAAGCTTCAATTACCCACTACAGTAAAAAGCATGGACATCGTCCAGCTCATGGAACAGATTTACTGAATCATTGCTGCTGAGTGTATTTATGTCTCCCCTATGCTGTGATTTAGATCAGAGTCAGCAGAGGGAAGGTTTAAAGGAAAAGCTCAGGTGTGGAAAAGAAAGAGGAGAGATTTTTGATTGCCTGATCAATGACACCACTGCAGTTAGAGCTGCTGACCACTGTTGGAGCATCCTACTGACAGTAATTAGGAGACTACAGGCATCCTGGGTCAAATGCCAGCTAAATTCATTGGGACAACTTGTAAAAATTGATACATGGTCTTAAAATGAGTTCATCTTTTATTGTAGTAGTATGATCTCATACTACATTGTGGTACATTTATTTATTAGGGAAAAACATCCCATGTTAAGAAATTATTGTCTTTCCAAAATCATTGATTGATGTTACCCAAAACAATCCTTATAAATCCTTATTGTAATGCTATGGTGTCTCTGTAGAACTTTTTCCTTTTCTTATTCACTTTTCTCAGTACGTTTCAGTTTCTAGGAACTTTTAATTGGTAATCGATCAGTTTCTGTTTTTCAGCGTTATGAAATAATACGAATCAAAGGCCATTTAGCCACTCGCCATTGGGCTCCATCAGGTCATATATTTATCTTGTTCCAACGCACCGTAGGAAGGATAATAGAGGTGGAAAAAAACCTTTAAAAAACACTGATGAGAATTGCTACAAAGTGTGGCTATTGTAGAGCAGTCTGCTCTTCCCCACACTCTGTCACGCTATCTACACGCCAATTGAAAAATAAATGCTTTTCTTCCCTTCCATCTTATAAACATTTAACATGGGGAATTTGCAAAACTTTAACTATGTGTGCACTTTGGTGCGATGAGAGTAAGATGAAATGATTTTGCCAACAAATGGCTGTTTTGGGTGAAAACCAGAATAAATACATGACAAAGTACAGTAAATAACCGCTTATGCCGTGGGACTGATTTTCTTTCAAATGCATTCTCTTGAGAAATCTAAACTGAACAATTTCTGACATTATAGGATACTATTGAGTACTCTTAGTCTGGGTTATTTATAGCACGATTTCTAATTACTCTACCAAGTTTTTTTCCATAATTACTAAATTTGCTCTAACTCCAAGTTAGTCTTTTAAGACTCTTTATCATTATAGTTACCAGGGTGCCAATATGTGACTATACTACATATCTTAGGTTTCCATTGCATGCCCAGTTGTGGCTGCTTTGCTCTGATTGATGACATTTCAAACAAAAGTTGCAGCAGGTGTTGGCTCTTATCTCGACTGTGTGCCATTTATAATGGGCAGTCTGCTCTCAAGGCCATGTAATGCCACATGAGGAAGTGATTTTTGCTGTATATTTTTGCCGCTGCTTTGTGACAGCAATGAAAGAAAACTCAATAGGATTTTTTTTTCCCCCCTTCAAGGTCATTTGGTATTGCTGTGAAAGGGGACACAGAAATACAAGGAGAAGCAAAAGGAAGGATAGGTGGATGTTTTTGTCTTATCTGGGTTATTTCAGGTCCGTAAAGGAAGGACTGTTATGTCATTTCTTTCTAATAAAGTAATGTAAATTGTTATTGCTGATCTGCCATCAAAATAGAAAAAATAACAATAACAATAAAAAGAAAAGAAAAAAATGAATTGTTTTAAATAAAATTATTATTTCCTTGTCAGGACTAAGCATTTCAAACACTGCAAAAATGTTATATATACACACACACATATATGTATATCTGCAAAAACAGCTAAACATTTCTCATTGCCAAGCAAAGACTGCATTTTCTAGAATTGAAAAAAACAAACTCAAGTTAAACTGAAAAATAAAAAGAGACAAAACCTTTGTTTTGTTTTAGCCCATTTTTATTACTCTGTATGCTGTTTTTTTATTATAATTAAAATCAAGAAAAAAAGTGAACTGAAAGGAGAAAAAAAATCTAAAAGTAAAATAAATGCTTCTGAGAGAAAATATGTAAATATTTTTGAGAGAGCTTTTTTTCCCTTGGAAATCATTTCCAAATGTCAATTTTTCTATTAATTATTCTATGAAAAAATATTTTCTCTCAAAACCTTTTTGTCTTTTATGACATTTTGTCTCAAATAACATCAGTTTTTACTTTCAGAATTATTTTCAGGATTTTCCTGAATTTAATAAAAAGTCAAAAATTTATTTGTACGTTTATTTAGAGTACTGTCACTTCAGTTTTATGCAAATATATTTCTTTTTTCTTACCTAAAAATCCAATCAACTTAATGGCACTTGATAGTAGGGCAAATAGGTCGTACACTCCTGTTATAGGGAAGAGAATAATCTCTAAACAAAAATTTTGGTTGATAGAAGAGTTTAATTCAATAGAATCAGAATTAGTTTAATTGGCCATCAGTTTGTGCATATTTAAGGAATTAGACATTAGGTCCAGATTTACTATGTTGGTGGAATTTCAGTAATACCTCCCACTACTGTTACTTATTCCTAATAATAAGCAAGGAAATGGAAAAACTTTCTTTGTTTTATCTTTGTTCCTTCTGGTTCTAAATAATTTTATTACTAAAACAATTTGTCCCCATAAACCAAGGGCAAGAACTAATTTTCCAAGACCAAAAAGCCCTTGAAAATAATTTCATAGCATAAATCGTAGAATGCATGCTCTGAAACTAGAATTCATTCTGCTGACTTCTTCTCTCTGGCCTCCAAACTCTGAAGACTCATTTGCGTGTCGACAGGCTCACAATGAATGTCTCTGTGAGCTGCAAGGCTTCTTTGACATTTTGCCTTGGTGTTTGTGTGTGTGTGAATGTCTTAACAGGCCTGATTAATTTTGTCCTTTAAGTACATTAAGAGCCGCAGTTTGCCAATGAACCGCTGTGCGGATCATTGCGATTTCCAGGAATAACACCCTGGGAAGGGTGCCGTGGTGATGCATACATGTGAGGGCATTTATTTTGCATGATAAAAGGCTGCAATCTCATTAGGGCAGTAACTGTAATCTTGTTTTTTCAGCTCCGCTGTGGATGTTTTATTCTGTTGATGCTGATGCTTTGCGAACAGCTGTGTGATGGCAAACGAGGCAGAGCCAATCTGAGGAGCGGAGAAAAGCACCAGGATTTTTATAGACATGTCTTTGATGGGAAGCAGTTTGTTATCTGGTGTCAGCTTTCTTTTCTTCAGGCTGCATACTGAGTTCCAAAACAGTTAACTATTTGGACTGTTGCTGCTTGGCTGTGCAACAGAGTTTAAAAAAATATATACTAGGTATAAAAATAAAAAAGAATAAAAACTCTGAGAACTTTTCTGATATGTGCAAGGGTGATCTGATCCCTCAGTGCCCCCATATTGGTCTGTCTCTGCAGGAATCTGCGAGGGGCAACACAGTCATCTTGTCCATTGATTGTTTGGCTGTAACTCCCTGCCCTCTAATCTCACTTTCGTTTTCTCAGGAATCTTTATGAGTACTTGCAACGTAGATGTTCGCTGGTTCCCATTCGACATCCAAAAATGTGAGTTAAAGTTTGGCTCCTGGACTTATGACGGCTGGCTGCTGGACCTCCAGATGATTGATGCAGACATCTCAGGATACATGCCAAATGGAGAGTGGGATCTAGTCGGTAAGAGGGAGGAAACATCTTGATTTTTTTTTTTAAAAAGAAAAAAAAAATATTCATGAATAATCAGGGACAGTTCCTCTGTTTGCATTCCTTTAGGTGTTCCTGGAACCAGAAATGAGCTTTTTTATGATTGCTGCCAGGAGCCTTACCCAGACGTGACGTTTGTGATTACAATTCGAAGACGGACGCTCTACTACGCCCTGAACCTGCTCATCCCGTGTGTGCTGCTTTCTTCTATGACCCTCCTGATCTTCGTGTTACCAGCTGACTCTGGAGAAAAGATCTCTCTGGGTGAGTGGATCAGTTTTACTCTACATGCCAAATTCATTCCTCAGGAATATGCAGAAAGAAATGACATTCATGAGATACTCATGGCCATAGAAGTTTTCTTGAATACTCCACTTCAAGGAATTATGACTGTGTCCCTCAGCTGTGGTGTATACCTTGACATGGAGTTGTATTATTGTGTCTGACTTGGAAATCCTACCATACCATTTTAACATCCTTTATATGAGGTGCTTTTTTGGGGGGTTTTGACCATTATCTTTGGTGAGTTGAAGTGGTTTGCAGCTGGTATTATAGTCTAAAGATGTGTTTCTGCAGAAACGTGAACTGGTGAACTGTAACTTCCAGGTTTGGAGTCAAGTGGAAGAGCTCTAATATCTTGGTTATTTGCTCATGAGTGGCAGCAGGATAAATCAGAAGATGAATAGATTGATTGCTGCTGCTGTTTTTCACCAAAACCAGTCAGTTTTGATCAGAGGTTTCTCTGCTCCAGCACAGCTGACTTTCATTGATTCCTGATTAACAGGCTTTGGCTAAACTGCAATCATCAGAATCAGCTGTGCTGAAGCTAAAGGGAAACCTCTAAAACCTGCTGGACAGCGAACCTTAAGAACAGTACTTTGTGCATGCCTGGTTTAGATCATCTAATCAGGATGCTTCCAGGCCATTTCTCAGGTATGTTTCTGGCTTACACAGAACTCGTTAGAGGAACTGTCTAACCTGCCTGACATCTAACCTGACATGGGAACTCTTTTTGCTGGAAAGTAGGGCTGAGCAATATGCAGTCTTATCATGATACTGGTTAATGTTATTGTGATAACGATAAAAGCGACGATAAAATTAAAAAACATTACGTCTTTGCAGTTTTTCTTAGGTAACTCTATGGCTGTGACTGCTTATAGCCACCAAAGCATTAAAATCATAAATAATACTCCTAAAGAATACTCGTACTTGTACTCGTACTCGTCGTCTCCCGCTTTATCCGGAACCGGGTCGCGGGGGCAGCAGACTAAGCAGAGACTCCCAGACTTCCCTCTCCACAGACACCTCCTCCAGCTCTGTTGGGGAAAGCCCTAGGCGCTCCCAGGCCAGCCGATAGACATAGTCTCTCCAGCGTGTCCTGGGTCGTCCCCTGGGCCTCCTCCCAGTGGGACGTGCCTGGAACACCTCCCGAGGGAGGCGTCCAGGGGGCATCCGAAGAAGATGTCCGAGCCACCTCAACTGACTCCTCTCAATGTGGAGGAGAACCGGCTCTACACTAAGCCTCTCCCGAATGACCGAGCTCCTCACCCTATCTCCTAAAGAATATACATACAGTATTTAAATTCAGCTTCTTCAGGACATCAGTTCCATAAAGAAGCATTACTTATATCCCTGATCATCCTGCATTGAATCGTATCTGTAAATGTGTCAATGCCCCAGTGGAAAAAATGAATGAAAAAGAATAGAAAATTGTAAAAACTTAAACCTTTTGACAATTCAACCACTGTCTGGAGTTTTTAAGGATCACTGATTCTAATTTATCGTTCAGAAAATAAGTTAGAAATCTTATCATGACGATAAACATGTCATGATAGAGATAAACGGTACAATAAATGGCCTCCCCTACTGGAGCGTGTTTACTGGGAGAGGGATGTCTGGGTTTCTCTCATAAATCTGTTGTCCCTGTGAGGTTGACCTTATATAAGCAGAAAAAAGCAATGAATGAAAGAATAAAATTAGACTAAACATGTGTTATTTTCAACATGTGACAGCAAATATCTAATATAAGACCCATCAACTGGTTCTAATAACCATAATTAAATCTCAGATACCGATGAGGTTTCTTGTAGCACCACATGACCATGGAACACCAACAGAGAGGCATGGGTCCAGTGGTTTGTGATTACAAATGATCATTATAGTGATGCATGTGTTATATTCCAGTGGGCCATCTCTGGGGGGCATTTGGAAATGTCTTTTGGGCAAATATAGCTACTCAGAAGGTCAAGTATTGCCTGCAGGACTGAATTGAATACCTTTTTCTTAGAAGACAGAAAGTTCTTGCTTTGTTCCTTGCATTTGTAAACTGATGGACACTTAGTTTGCAAAAAAGTTTGCTTTTTTAAGAATACCTACCAGCAGATCTTCTGAGCCCTTTCTAATGGAAACAAGATGAATACTCTTTTTAATTACATTGGTAAAGTTATAATACTGGGCATGGTTTAAATGCATCTCAGTATCACTGTTAAAATTAATCACTATCATATTTGTGATCATTTGATTCACTTACCCTATATGTTCTTGAGTGAATCATCTAATAATAATCCTTTATTCCTAATCTCTTGTGTTAAGTAGCCATTTAAGTTGTCGGGCAGTTATGAGGTCCGGACAGTTCCACGGGGAGAAATTAAGCTGTTAAGATAATGATTAAGAGAGCCGAAAGATCATTAGGTTTGAGCAACAGCTTAAATAAGGTTAGAATGCTTTTTATCAAAAGAAACAGCTTATTTTGCTGCAAAAAGTTATATTTTGTTAAAGTCAGAGTGTTTGGACAATACTAATGCAGGCTGTGGGATCTAAGCCATGATCAATCAGCACTAAGGAGCCCACGCTGTGCATAGTAAACATGCCTGAACTGTTATTACAAGGTGGGGTGGATCCATGCTTCCATGTCTTTCTGGTCGTACCTTTTGAATATCACAGCTGACACTGAGACAAAGAAGACCAAGCAACCCTTTTTCTAATCTGTTATTATTAATGATGGTGAACTGCAGCCTCCATTTCTTAGCTGACAGGAGTAGTCCCTGCTGCTGTAGCCAATATGCTTTCAGGCTTGATGTGTGTTTCTTCAGAGTGTAAACATCTCTTCACCATGTCTATATGCTTAGAAGGGCCATTAAGTGTGTGTTTGTATTGTGCAAATAAAATATTTCTTGGTTATAGTTAAGGACTGCATCTGCGATATAACCTCAGCATCTTACATAGTAATTGTCTGCCTGAGGTGGTATTTCTTTATGTAAATGTTTTAATCTGTGCTGGTCCAGAAACACAAAATATCAACAACACGATGGAAAAAAAAAAAAAAAAGAAATGTTTGCAGCATAACTTGAAAGCAATCTGATTCATCCAGGAGGAAGGGTCCATAAGCAGATCAAATCTCCGACTTCAGTGCCCTCAGACCGAGGTTGTGAATATAGGCCGACTTTAAAAGTGAAACATTGCAGAGTGAAGGCACAGGGGAGGCTCAGGAGATAATCAGGGGGTACAAAAGAGGCGAACTGGGAGCGAGAGAAGATGAGAGAGGAGAGGGATTACTGGATATCTACAAACAGGGAGCGGCGGGTGTGGGAAGATGGAAACAAAGTCTAGAGAGGAATTAGAAAAAGGGTGATAGAGGACAGACCAAGTAAGAAACGAAGGAGTGACACTATAATAGGATAAAAATGAAGGCAGTATGCAGCAATATTAAACTTTAATATCACCATCAGCCTGTTTAAAGATCTGACGATCTTGTCATCTCAGCCTTAAAGACTTTGCTATCTTGATTTTACAGACCCGAAGCGAAGACTGCTTCAGCTTTTTAGGAAAGAAAACATCAAACATCTTTTTTCTTGTTCACTCACAGTTGATTGTTTTCCACAGCATTTAGTGTTTGAATTTCACCTTGAATTCAATGAGAAATAAATTAAGTCTTTTGCTTGAAAAGCTGAGTAACTCAGATGAAATAACTACTAACATCAGCCCTGTTTTCACTTAACATCACCTTGAGATATTGTGGTGCTCCATCCTCTCACTTTATTTTAAATTAATAATATGTTTTTAACATACTGAGTGGGAATGAAAGTGGGAGGGAAGCCAAGGCAGCTTTGTCAAAACATATCCTCAACCTCAGTAGACAATGGTTTATACAGCGTTTCTCTAAAGGAGGGAAAAATGCCAAGTCTTACACAAGAGGCTAATTAACCTATCAATATAATTAAGGCTACTGAATTGATTAGAGGCGGGCAGGAAGAGGTACACACTGTCTTCTAAGAAAGTACAGGAATGTCACTTCTGATGGTACCACTTAAAGATCGGATGGCGTTCCTCTAAATTCAGGGGTTTAATTGAATACTTGGATCAGGGATGGTACTAAATGATGTGGAGGTGGATACACAGAGAGAATAAGCTGTGCTTTCCAGCTCTCTGACTCAGTCTGAGAGGATTTTCTTCTGCTGTTTTGGTTTTACATAAACGTTACTGATTAATTTACATAAATCGAACCAGATCTCATCATGAGCCTTAACCGTTTATCAAAACACTGAACACACAAGGAAACCTAAGTCCAATATCGACTGGCTAACGAAGTGCAGCTGAAGTATCAGAAAACCACCTGTGTCTCTGTGTTTACCTGCAGGTATCACCGTGCTGCTGTCTCTCACTGTTTTTATGCTGCTGGTTGCTGAGATAATGCCCGCCACATCTGACTCTGTCCCTCTCATAGGTATGTGAACAGCAGAATTTTTACTTTTTTTTTAGATCAATTTTCACCCTACTTCCTCTCATCACTAAAAATAACATCTTCTTGTTTATAAGCCACTCATCTGGCTCGTCATTCTGAACAAAGCCTTTATCCAAATCCTCCACATCCTTTTTTATGTCCACTTTGCATCACCATTTACCATTAAAAAAAGTTTTTTTAATATTCATTTTCCTAATTTATGACCCCTTATCATCTCTTTTTAATTTCTTTTAACCCCCACACCATTCCTATCCATATAGTGCTATTTATGACTCTGTAAATCCCACTCATCCTCTTCCTCCCTCTTTGAGTCAAGTTTTCCCTCTAATCCACTTCATTAATGACCCTCATCATACTCATCCTCCCATTTTAGAAGTTTTCTTTCACATTTAATATAATTTGATTACAACATCTACAAAGGTTTGTGTTTAGTTCAGATTAATTTGCGTACAATCCAACTAAGGTAGAGCCGTAGATACATAAAGTTGTGCTTAAAAGTTGTTATACACCTCCATTATGGGGGAGTGCTGGTCTAGTGGTTAGAGCAGTTGTTCTCTGAGAAGGTTGCAAGTACCTGGTTCAATCCCCACAGCTGCCCCTCTGGCTCTCTGAGCAAGACCCTTAACCTCACACTGCTCCCCGGGCGCCGCACAGTGGCAGCCCACTGCTCCCCAAGGGGATGGGTTAAATTCAGAGGTCAATTTCTCCAGAGTGAGATCAATAAAGTTCAATTATTATTATTCACTTAATAAATTAACTTACCGTAAGCAATTCAAATAACACAAAACTGAAAAAGTAATAATGAATACAAATGTACTAAATAATAATTCAGTAAAATAAAATATTGATTTTGAATTTTTATTTGAAAAAAAAATTCTATAAAAACAAACTCCCACAAAAATGAAAGAACCTTGCTTAACAATTGTTAAGAGAAAAAAAAATGTAATTGTAGGAGCCATTTATAGTTGTTGTGTTTAGGTATGGTTTGTTTCTGGGTTATTTGTTTTGGGTGGCGGTGACCTATATTCTGCTCTACCACTGGTGGCGGTGTGGAGGGGAAGGCTTTATAGGTAAGACGTGAGGGGGCAGAAAGGGTTTTGGGTGACGGGAGGTCATACGGTTTTTACCGCTTTCTTTGGCACACAATAGCCTGCGTCCTCCGGTTAAACTCTGTTATCTTTCACATTCTCCATAGTTACCTGTCCATCTCACTTGATGTAAAGACCGCTACTCGGATTGTTTGGAAAGTTTGTTCATATACAAACGTACTTCAATAAATGGGAACGCCCATACCTTATATCCTGGTTTCCATCTCCTCTTTTAAGCGTGTTAAATTTCAGATTCCCCGCACCCACAAGCGACAAAAAGGTGGTTGGTAGTCGCTACAGTAATGTTCATCCATCATAAATAAAACCATTTAGACAAAAATACGCTGTGTGCAAGAAGTAATGGGTCAACCAATCCAATGAGGAAATTATATGTGCGCCTGGAAAATGCACCTCTATTTTTGAGCTGTTTCTGCAGGACTGCTGTACTTTAGTTATGCTGTTATTGTCCAATTAGAGGACAGGTTGGTGGCTCTTCTTAAAGGACTAACAATGACTGATAAACAATACTGATTGTCTGATAATTAAAAAAAAATTAAATTAGATTTTGGGAACAATTACCTTATAATGTTCTCCAGTTTTTGACAAAAATCATAGTTTAATAAAAGATTATGTCCATAATTTTAAAACAGTTTATCATCATAGAACTGTTATTCCTCTTTCCCCTTTTTATCCCACTTATCTTCCTCATCCCTCTTTATACCTCTTTTTTAACGCACTTATCTTCCTCATCCTTTTTTATTTCCCTTTCATCCCACCTATCATCATGAGCCCTCCTTATAATCTATTTTCATCCCTCTCATCTTCCTCTTAGATCTTTATGATTATTTTTATCCCATTCATTTCTCTTTATGACAGTTCACCATCCCACTAACCCTCCTCATCCCCTTTAAAACATCATATCATCTAACTGATCCCTCACACACCCTCTGCTCACCTCTGTCTATTCCACTTATTGTCTTTTATCCTTCTTAAAGCATTTTCTCCCAGTCCTAATTACTATCCATACAATTTTCTATCTCTCCTCCTAGATCCCCCTTTAGACCCTGTTCAGAACATTCATCCTCTCGTCTCTCATTACTTTTCATTCATTTTTATCTCACTCATACCTTATTATGCTACCCATTTTAACACCCATTTTAAAGACTCATTCTTTTTCCACCTCTTTAGCTTATTTATAATATACTGTATATTTTTAAATCTTGATTGTCCTTTAAATCCCTGTGATACTTTTCCCAACATCCTGTTGTTCTTAATAATCCATTTTCATCTCAGTCATCCTCCTCGTCTTTTCTATTTATTTTTGTACCATACATATTCTTTTCATCTCTTCTTCATAAATGCATTTCACAATTTTTACTTCTTTTTTAATCATTTTTCTGTCTCTTTTATTCCACTATCATCTCTTCTTAGGGTTCTACTCGTTTCTGTTCCAATGTGCTTAAACTATTTCCAACCCTATTGCACTATACAACAAGCCTTAGAGACAAATCTAACTGAATAAAGTCACATTTAATTAATCTTACCCTTAAATTCAAATCTGATTCTAAAACAGCAAATCAATTCAGTACACTACCTCACCCCCAAAAAAATCAATTTAATCTATTCTTTATCCTTCCTGCTTTGCTTTTTCCAAAGGTACAGTCTGGTTGGTCCAAATTAATGCCAAGTTATTTTCCTGCTGAAACAAAAGGCCCTTTGGTGTCTCCTTCCCCAAATCATCTCTCCTTTTATTTTCATATATCTATGATCTGGTGATTGCTGGCTCATTTATTGTCTAGCTGAACTACATTGATCTGCAGGGCCATGCAGTTTGTCGGGTTTATCACACAGGGTATCATTATCAAACACTCTATCCTACTATAAGAAAATGATACGGTGTCATAACATGAAACTGAAAAAAAAAGTACCCCGAAAAAAGAAGCTGAATTTACAAAACACACCTGCTCACCCTGAAATTTAATGGACTGAATTTATAGCGGCCACACTGCTGAGAATTAACTTTAGAGGGAAGGAACCTCAGCCAGAGACAGATGCAAATCTTTTCTCAGGACACAACACCTTGAGTTTAAAAGCTTAAAAAAAACATCAGCTGCTGCTCTCAGCTTTTTTCATCCTTTATAAAGACTAACTACCTTAATCTTCATCTGTTTGATTTTGCTGACATGAACAGAATAAGCAAGTAGGCTCTTATAATGACATCCGGCATCAGAAAAGTTTAAAATGACGTTATGGATTGATTTACGTCTTAAAAATCTAAATATGACTTAAGTCTTTGACCTCAAAGTGCTTAGAAAGAAATAAAACTTTATTGCGAACTCCAGTAGCAAGAAGGTGTATGAATGAGATGTTAACCTTGTCAGTGTTTTTTTTTTTTTTTCCGGCTAAAATATTAGCTCAGAAACTGCCGGTCTGACTTTAAATGAATCATTACAGGGCTTTCACCTCCTCCTCCTCCTCCTCCTCCTCCTCCTCCTCTTCAGGTCAGTACTTTGCCAGCATAATGATCATCGTTGGGATGTCAGTCGTTGCCACAGTGGTTGTTTTACAGTATCATCACCATGATCCAAACGGAGGAAACATGCCAAAATGGGTAAGGCTGAGCTCAGACACATTAAAAGACACATTTATCATGCTTTTAGTCATTTTGCAGCTGAACTCAGCCTTTCTTGACACGCTCCTTCTGTAACCCCGATTTTCTGCCCAGTTCTCAGGGACGTTTTTATTCGCTCGGAAGTGAACAGTATGCTGCTATGCCACTTTCTCTTTTTCTTCACCGACTTCATTGGCAGTGACTCATCCAGCAGTGGCAGTCTTCCTTCGTGTTTTCATCAAATGCCTCATCGCAAACTACAGCAGGCATGCTTTTCAAAGCACCCTGGATATGTGGATGGATTCAGTTTGACTTGTTCTCTGCTTCTGTTTTTCTTACCTTCTGTTCCAGGAAAAAAGCATCAAGTCTTTATATAGAAAGTTTTTGGGTTTTATTTTCCTGCACTGTTTATAATTTTAACTATACATTTACTGGTTTCTGCGTCCCCCTGCAAAACATGGCTTCAGTTAATGATATGTGGAACTTTGCAGGCTGCTTGTGCATGCTGGTGCCTTCTGCTCTGACACATTGCAAGGACGTTCTGTTGATGGATGGCCTTTGTAGACAATCCAATGGCCAATTAGCAAACTAATTGATGAGATTTAGATTAGTGCGTGAAGTGTGTGCAGTTCATAATTAGACCACTGCACAAAAACAACATCAGTGTCGGAAACCTGACTTGGGAAGATGTTCTGCAGACACTAATTGAACAGTCATCTGGACATTAGGTCTCATTTAGCAGCCAGACCCCCATCTGGATGCTGCTGGGTCCGTCTGCCTGTACATGAGACACATGGGCTTTTTTTCTTTCTATTATGGATTGGACAGAAGGAGAGGAACAGAAGTTTTAAATCCAAACCAATTTGTGCTTTTTTTATCTAATTCTGTAGCTCACTGAAACACTGCTCTGCCGGCTCATGGGGGTAATAAAACGCTAATCACACAGTCCATCTCAGTGAGTCCACAGTTTCAATATAAGGCTACACTTTTAAGTAACTGGGAGTCTCTGTAGGAAATCTGGCAAAGGCTAAAAGAATTTTTATTTTTTGCCTGAGGGACTCTAACCAACCAACACTTGAAACGATGTTAATACAAAGACAAAGCTGCAGCAGAGTAAAACAAACCACAACATTGAAAACAGAGTCAGCATCCAAACCACAGAAGCTTTTAGATCAACTTAATTAAAGCTCTGCGGAGGGCAAGAGGGGATGATTGTAGTGTTTTTATAACAGTGTGGTAGTCAATATTAAAGGTCATTCCTGTAGAGGCTCACGGTGCCTTCAAAAAGTATTCATCCCATTTGAAAATGTTCAGAATTCATCATGTTACAACCATAAAGTTTAATGTTTCTAAGATATGTCTTTTTCAAGTTCAGCAACACAAATTAAAGCAGTTTATGTAGTTTTGAAATGATGATCCATGATTTTTGATGTGTTTTAATAAAATAAGAAAAAGTTTCAGTCCTCCTGATTTGATGGTTTGTCAGACTATGTTTCGCTGCAATTAAAGCTTCCAGTCTTTAGGTACATCATGTTTCGGCTGTCTTTGCTCATCTAGAGACAGAAAATGTTCTTTGCAGAAAAAGCTCATGTTCAGTTTGACTGGATTCAGGATTGTTGACAATAACTCAACCTTGATTGAGTCTTTCTTCACATTGCTGCTCTGGCTGTATGAAGGAACATTCTGATCTAATCTGATCTGCATATTTTCGCCGAGTCCCACACACAGGTTTTACCAGACAACACAAGAACTAATGATTTTTTTTCTTTTTATGAAGTGCAGCACTCATATCTGTGCTGGTAACAGGTTCCACCTGAGCTGTGGATCTCTGCAGCTCCACCAGAGTTACCATTCTTCTCCTATTTCTTGTAATGTTTTGAAAACCTGATTTTCCATCCTTGATTTTTCAGTGCCTACTGTTGGTCTTTGGCAAATGAAATCTTAATTAACCACATTCAGATTTTTGGTTGCAACACGACAAGATGTGAAAAACATTAAGGAGAGTGAATAGCTGTGGAAAGGTTTGTATCTCAACGTCTTCTTTTCTCCCTTAAGGTGCGGATCGTTTTGTTGCAGTGGGTAGCCTGGTTCCTCAGGATGAAGCGTCCAGGGGAGAACGACGATCCAGAACGACCTCCCTGCGCCCCTCACCTGCGGCGATGCTCCTCGGGATCACAGAGCGGCAGCATTCCAAACCCTCCTGATCCAACCCTCCACCCCCTGCACCCACAGAGTCTGACACCTCTCCAGACGGGGCCCCTCCATGCTGGACACCCTCATCTGCAAACCAGTGCCAACAATAACGGGAATCTTCTCTATATGGGTTTCCAGAGCATTGAGGATTCTTCTGTGCTCTCAGAGCCCGTCCAGAGGAATAACATCTCTGTTGGACCTCCCCGGGTGGCTGGAAGTCCTCCTCCTCACCTTCCATCTCAGTTCTGCAGCTCCCCCCCTCCTCCAACTCCAAACATGGACACAATAGGGTGTCCCAGCACTGTCTCTAGTGGCGGGGGGTTTGGAGGGGGAGCAGGAGGGTGCTCGACGTCCGTGATGGGAGACCCTCAGCTGCAGGCTATCCTGGAGGAGGTGCGCTACATGGCAGACCGCTTCAGAGAGCAGGATGAGTCGGAGAGCATGGCTGATCAGTGGAAATTCGCAGGTGCTGTTATTGACCGCCTCTGTCTGGTGGCGTTTAGTGTTTTCAACATCATCTGCACCATCTCCATTCTCATGTCGGCTCCTAACTTTGTGGAAGCTATTTCTAAGGACTTTGTTTGAGGGGGGGGGGGAAACAGGAAACAAAAGACACGAATGAACATTCTGAAGAAAAATTAGCTACAGGATAAAGAATAGATTGGGCTCTGATCCAGGGAAACATGATTTCAGAAAACTGATAAGTTCTGTGATTTGTGATTGCAAAGGACTGGGGGAGCGGAAAGAATCTAATGGTTTTCTTGTAATACATCCTGTTTTGTTACCAAAAAAAGAGAATGCAGAAGATGAAGGGAATACAGAGTGGAGTTAAAAGGGAATTAGACTGTGCTGGGTGCTTTATCAGATTTGTGACAAGGTGAGAACTGGCTTTCATGACTGATTTAAAGACCTTTGCTTAAAGTTAAAGAAAAAAAGGGGAGCCACTGCAACAAGAGGTAATAAGGAGCTTTTTAGGGTAGAGTGAAGACAAGAGTGAAAGAAGAGACAGATAGATAGGCAGAGACAGATAAAAGAGACAAATATGTATGGTTTTTTTTTCTCAGATAGGGGAGACAGCCTCTTACTCCCATAGGTGGAGAAGATACTGCATCACTCAAAGTGAGTTGAAAAGAAAAGAGTGGGAGAGCTGCTTTTACAAGGACACAAAACAAAGAGCAGACACGAAGGACAGACTCTATTCCCCGGGGACCCTGAGAGAGGTAGAGTTTTGGGAGGCTGCTTGATGTTCAGATGCACAAATGATGACCGAAGATCAAGACTGTCGCATTGCACAGGAACTTGGGAGGATCTCATCTATTATTCAATCACAATTCATCTAATGACAGTCAAATTGAAAGGCTTGGGATAATCCTTCAGACTAACAAGCTTTTCCGAGATGAACTTCCATCTCCGTGAGCCACTTTAAATCTCAGACCTTATCTCTGTCAGAGTATTGCCAATCAGGACGCTCTTCAGCAGCTCCCTTGCTCGTCCCGATCTGGAAACTCGAATTAGTCGGTCATCAACAATGCAACGGGCCGTCGCTGTGCCACCGTGGAGGCCAATGAAAATTCATGCACCGGTTACCTAACTGCATCTGGCAGGTTATAATGGACCAACGAAACTCATCAGATTTCATCTTGAAGGTTTAATAACCGACAGGAGATCTTTAAAAGGGCACCAGAGGCAAGAGGAAGGGGATGAGATCACTGAAAATACTAACGCTGAAGCAGAGGAGCAGGTTTTACTGGTTTACAGCATCATGAGGGAGGAACCTTTTTAATTTTATATAAACTTTAAATTAGGGAATATGATGATGCAAATTAACACCGCAGCACCATATAGACACCATAAAAGGCAAGTCCCTCTGGTGGCAGTTTGAGAGGTCAAAACCAACACTTCCTCTTTTGTTTTTCAATCACGGGTCGACTTGCTAACAGCATTTAGCTCCCTTCCCATTGGCAAAAAAAGCTGGGTCTACCGCCACTGGCAGGCCACATGGCCTCTGTGCCCTGTCACTGGTGACACCATCACACTGGGTTAGCGTCAATGATGTCACCAGTGCTACAGAAATCAAGAAAGTAAACAATGGAGAACAACATGTAAGGAACCCAGGGTCATAGTAAGTGTGCTTTATTGTTTTGCTCTTTTATCCTAATCCCTCTCACCAGTGCTGGGTCATGTTTACCAAATGTTAAAAGTTGCTTGGCTGGTTAATTCAATTCAGTTTATTTATATAGAGCCAATTCACAAAACATGTCGCCTCAAGGCTCTTTACAAGTCAACCTAATCATACAGTCAAATTGATTAAAAGTTTTCTATTTAAGAAAAACAGTTGATTGAATCGACTCACTGACTCAAAGGTAATTCCTCGCATGCTTGTAGCGACAGGAGAGGAAAACTCCCATTTAACAGGATAGCCTCCAGCATAGCCAGGATTCTGGCTGACTGGGGTTGAAGTTGTTAGATCAGTACAACTTGCATGGTTTGTTGACGTCTGTAAGTTGCAATGGTATAACGTGAATTAGTGGGGGATCAGAGCCGATGCAATTTTAACATGAGTCGCTTGATGAGTCGCTTGACCCGCGTCGACAGGTCTGAGCTGTTCCCACTGCCACTAAAACCCAATTGTTCCCAGTTTTTAACAGGTTTTCCAGCCAGTGGGAAAGGGATATTATTTAGATATGCGTAAAACAATTCAACTAGTTATTAAAACTATACCTTTTCAACCTTACATTAAGTCATGGTACAACCTCAAACTATAATAAATTTAAATTCCCCTAATATTGCCTACAGAGACTTTCTAGGATTAAAAGGAGTAGGTCTGTAAACATCAGTTTATCATTCTTGCCACAGATTATCAGGTAGATTAGGTCATTCCATTGCATGAATATTCTTTGATTCAAATTGCTCCATAGTAGCTGTGGCTGTATGTGGGAAGGAGAACCTTTGTCCCAATCTAAAGGGATTTTTTTTAGCCTTCAAAAGCATTTTTTCCAGGATTGCCCTGCATTTAGCTAAATCAAACTTCCTCTTCCCTGGAAAAGAAAAACATCCCCACAGCATAATGCTGCCACCACCATGAATATTTTGCAAAGCATTACTAATAACTAAATGTATAGTCTCATGTAGATGAATGAAAATCTGTCTGAAAAGCCAGTTCACTTAATGATGCATCAAACAACTTCTAGATTACCTGGAAATGTATTTCAGAAATAGGCCAGAGTAGAGAAAGTATTGAACCCTGAACATTTAAACATTTATTTGCTTGGTGTAAATAAAATGTATGATTTATTTGTTTTGACTATGGTGGACAGATATCAAAGCAACATGAGAAAGGGGATTTGTTTCTGATTTTATAACAGTAATCTAATATATAAACATATTTGTTTTTAATAAAGTTGACTGCATTTAAAATGCAAAATTTACTGCAACATAAAAATGTATTTTTTCTCCCCCTTTGTATGTTTAAAGGCTGCAGCAGTAAGAAGTAAAGTTTAGTTACCGTTACAAAGAACAATGTTTCTGTGCTTTAAATGGATGGTTTCTAGTTTCACTTTTACTTTTAAGTATACCATAAATAATATTTTAAATAGAGCAAGTGTTTTGAAAAGTGATAATTTTGAATTTTATAAATAATCTTAAATTATTTTAGATTTTCTAACCTAAACACACAGAAATGTTCCAGTTCTACAGAGGATGAGGTAGAGGGGCATGTTTTTTTTTTATATCCAACCCTTCAAACACCGAATGTCTATTTTTGTATGACTTAATTTAGTCCGTAGGTCTTTTCCAAGTTCAATTTAACCAAATATGTTGAAAACCAAGTTTGGTAATCTCCATCACTAATCCCTTTTTTAAATAGAAGACGATGTCGTTTCTTCTTGTAGGTTCAGTGCATTAAAACTGAGATCATTTGAGGAGGCGTTGTTTTTGACCTCATGTCAAAGGTCTCCTTTTTGTCTCTTCTTGCAGTGATTCACTGTCATTTCACTACACTTACATATCTGTGCTTAGGTATCCTGACTGCTAATTCCTCATGCTAGTCATTAGGTAATAGTTGATCATGTACTTTAAAAACAGCTAGAGGTTTCATAAAAACTCAGACCCCCATAACTAGTTATTCTGATAGTGATTCTTCCTTTTTTTTGGAATCACTTCAAATAAAACTCCCTTGGATTCTTCATAGTTAGAAACATACTTCCACATAAATTTTGATCACAATTTTCTACTTGAATTAAATTTGTTTCCTTTTTACTTTAAAGGATTCAGCACATTTGAAGTAGCCTTGATCAACATTTCCAGGATATTATTGTTAGACTTTAGTGCGACATCTAATCATTTTCTATGGATTTCTACAAGGCATCCGGTTAAAACAATACAAGTTTTTATTTATTTAAAATCTAAGAAAAACATTTGATAATTCAGAAATTAGTGTTTTACTACCGACGGGGTGAATCCCCTGGGCTATTAATTAATTAATCAACTGAAATACAATGCATTTTTCAGGTGCTGTGGCCTTTTTTAGATTTAACGCATCCTCTGTCCACTTTCCTGAAGCAAACACTGCCGCAAACACTGCCCAGTATGCTTTCATGATGAGGTGTAAGGACTCTAACAGAAAAAGAAGAGGAAGGGAGATTAATTTGATGGAAAAAAACTCAAAAAGTCCAGAAAGCTGATAAACAGGAAAGTTTGGTTTCATGGAAGCTAACTGTATAATTGCACTACTCTGTATCTGGATCATTTATTTTTTGACACTTCTTCCCCATTCAGTGTTGTGCTCTAAAAGCAAGTTTGTTTTAATTTGCACATTAAATTCCATGGGACATAATCTTTGTTTAAATTAGGCTTCTATTTTTTTTTTTATTGTAACATAGAATTTCTTAAACGTTCATTAAAGAAAAATATAATGGTCCCTTTCCACCGCGATAAAATAGAACATCCTTTTTTCCAGAGTTTCATGTATGTTATAAAAAAAGGTCTTTATTAGGTTCTTTTATAGTATTGGCATTTAATTTTAGGCTGTTATTTTAGAAATCAGGATAAAATAGGTAATAAAATGAATCTATGCTTAAAAACCTTATGAATCAAAATAATGCCTCACCTTTAGCAGCATTAACTTGAGTTAGCCCTTTACTCTATGTCTTCAGTTTCACATTGTGAATGGAAGTTGCTTCAGTGCATTTAGACTTGCAGACATTCATTTCTGTCTTTATGTATAGATGCATTGAGAGAGTTTATATATTGCCAACAAAGGTGGTGCAGAATTTTTTGCTGCATTTACTGCAACATGTGAGGGAAAGACATACACTATATTGCCAAAAGTATTTGCTCACCTGCCTTGACTCACATATGAGCTTAAGTGACATCCCGTTCCTAATCCATAGGGTTCAATATGACGTCGGTCCACCCTTTGCAGCTAGAACAGCTTCAACTCTTCTGGGAAGGCTGTCCACAAGGTTTAGGAGTGTGTTTATGGGAATTTTTGACCATTCTTCCAGAAGCGCATTTGTGAGGTCGCACACTGATGTTGGACGAGAAGGCCTGGCTCTCAGTCTCCGCTCTAATTCATCCCAAAGGTGTTCTATCG